CATCCACGGTGGTCACAAATTATTGCACCATGTTGTTACCTTATTGACATAAAATTCATAGCTGTGTTTAAAGTGAAACTTCACTCTCTCAATCAACATTGACTAATTTTAATACTTATACTGCTGGCATTAGTAAATAGAAGGGAAATATCATATTTACTCATTTTAAACTTTTTTTTACATTTCTTTACATACTTCCTGGTTTTCTGCCTAGGCTAGGGGTAGGCAACCTGAGAGCCGCAGGACTACAAGTTCCATCATGCCTCTGCAAGTCATAGCTGTAACTGTCAGTTTTGTAATATTTGCAATGCCTCATGGGAAATGTAGTTCCACAACAGCTAGGGAGCCACAGGTTGCCTACCCCTGGCCTAGGTAAATGATGGTATACATCTTAGCAGTCTTCAGGAGGGGAGGGAGTGTTCTCAGCTCAGTCAATGCCTGAGCTAAGGGCAGATGGGTTCAAGAAAGTAAATACTACATGAATCATCTGCTCTTACTCAAGATGGACACTGCCAGAAGTGCCAGGGGGTGTTTTTTTTTAAATTATTTCTCAGCAAAATAAAGCATCTAGACATGGAGGGATGGGTGAGTTTGCTTTGAATATTAACAAAGAATTACATTTTATTTGTGGTGCTCAGATGAAGTGCAGTTCCACTTTAAGTGTAGTGAAACAAATGATGTGTCTGCTATTTTTACAATTCTCAAAAATGTTAGTTGTCTTGCTGCCTCCGATTGTGGTATCATTTCAATTGTATTAAGTGTATGTAAACCCATTATAACCTGTTCTGTATATGAGCCACAAATACAGCCATTTAAAAACATATTTATATTGCTTGATAAAATTTAGCAAAATAACATTTTCATGTGTTATTAAGCACAGTTATATGATACTGCAGACTTTGCTCCACACACAAATGTCGTCATAGAAAAAAACAAACACTTTTTTTATTTCCAAGAGTACATAAAAATAAAGTACATGGAAGCCATTTATTCTATTGTACAATACATTTTGATAAGGTTTACATACTATTAGAAAGAAGGACAGAAAAACATTTTTTAGATTTACTGACACTAGGTCACTGATTAGGAAAAAGACATGCAGCAAACAAAGTCAGCACATAATAAAAACCACTGATCCCCATACTTGTTCTAGGTCACAGATTCAGAAAGTATTGAAACCTTTTGATCAGCATGAAAGTCAGGCAACTGGCATTTTCAAAATGAGAGGTCAGCAATGGCAGCTTACATATTTTTTAGTATATGTTTCCTTTGCTCAGTGTTTCATTTACAGAACTGGGCAATTAACAATGCAGCCTTTGTTCTTTTTCCTTTTTTTATAATTCTCAGGTTTCTCTCCTCTCATTTTGCAAGAATGCATCCTAATCCAGCAGCACATTCTCATACATTCATTAATCCTGCTGCTCTACAATGTTTCACATGGAAACCTATGGTCATGTGACTTCAGGGGCCTAACAGTAAAGCAGGGACATCCTTGAACTTGTCATCTGCTGAAGTATAGAATAGCATCTGTTACTTAATTACCTCAGTTTAGAAAAGTGATCACTTACTTTTTAACTTTTTTTTTTAAAATGTTACTTTAGTACCAGTAGCCACAGTTACATATCCTAAAGACATATTTTTTTAAAATGTATTTCAACATGTTTTTCACTTGTTATATTCATACTGCAATAGCTAAGTACAATGTAACAGGCCCAAAGTTTATCTAGAACCAGACTTTTTTTGGCTGAGTAAAGTATGGTAAAAATTCACGTTGTTGCTTTTTGTGGCTATCTGAATTTACTCCCTTTGTGTATCCTGGTGGCCATTGGCACTAGACTGAAAGTGGGAGAAAATCTAAATTTTGTAAGTTGCCACCAGAATAATAGAGGGGAAATCTGCCAAAGTTCTGGTGATAACTGTGTAAGAGGACATTTCCCTTTTCCCCTTGGGAGAGATCTCCTCTCCCTTTCAGATTTGTTTGTTGGACAGAAAGTAAAGGGAAATTTCTCCAAATGGAAAATTGAGTACTGTCCATGGTACTTTTTAATTTGCATTAACATTCAAATTTTCAGGATAAGCTTTCAGGGTGTACACTTTTTTTCTAAGGTCCGACCAATAAGTAGAGAAGAAGGGGTTACACCTTTAAACCTTGTCCTGAAAATATGAACGTTAGTGCAAATAAAAAAGTATCATGAACAGCAACAAAAACCCCAAATGGACACCATACCAAATAAAAAATAAATAAATTTTTTATATATATATATATATATATATATATATATATACACACACACACTACCTTGCCAAAAGTATTTGGGCGCCTGCCTCTAAATGCACATGAACTTTAATGGCATCCCAGTCTTAGTCCGTAGGGTTCGATATTGAGTTGTCCCACCCTTTGCAACTATAACAGCTTCAACTCTTCTGGGAAGGCTGTCCACAATGTTTAGGAGTATGTCTATGGGAATGTTTGACCATTCTTCCAGAAGTGCATTTGTGAGGTCAGGCACTGATTATTATTATTATTATACAGTATTTATAAAGCGCCAATGGTTCGCTCAGCGCTGTACATTACAAAGGGGGACAGAACATGTGACAGAACAATAACAATACAATGCAAAACATGAGGGGATCGAGGGCCCTGCTCTTTCTAGCTTACAATCTAGGAGATGTTGGAGGAGAAGGCCTGGCTCGCAGTCTCCGCTCTAATTCATCCCAAAGGTGTTCTATCGGGTTGAGGTCAGGACTCTTCCTCCACCCCAAACTCGCTCATCCATGTCTTTATGGACCTTGCTTTGTGCACTGCTGCGCAGTCATGTTGGAACAGGAAAGGACCATCCCCAAATTGTTTCCACAAAACTGGGAGCATGAAATTGTCCAAAATGTCTTGGTATGCTGACGCCTTAAGAGTTCCCTTCACTGGAACTAAGGGGCCAAGCCCAACCCCTGAAAAACAACAACACACCATAATCCCCCCTCCACTAAACTTTACACTTGGCACAATGTAGTCAGGCAAGTACTGTTCTCCTGGCAACCCGCCAAACCCAGACACATCCATCAGATTGCCAGACAGAGAATCATGATTCATCACTCCAGAGAACTCGTCTCCACTGCTCTAGAGTCCAGTGGCGGCGTGCTTTACACCACTGCATCTGACACTTTGCATTGCACTTGGTGATGTAAGGCTTGGATGCAGCTGCTTGGCCATGGAAACCCATTCCATGAAGTTCTCTACACACTGTTGTGCAAATCTAAAGGCCACATGAAGTTTGGAGGTCTTTAGCTACTGACTCTGCAGACAGTTGGTGACTTCTGCGCACTGTGCACTTCAGCATGCTCTGACCCCACACTGTCATTTTACAGTTGCAAGAAAAAGTATGTGAACCCCTTGGGATTACGTGGAGTTTTGCATGAATTGGGCATAAAATGTGCTCTGAACGTCATCTAAGTCACAACAATAGAAGAACACCGTCTGCTGAACATAATACTACACAAACATTAGATGTTGCCATGGTTTAATAGCACATAACATGTAAACATTCACAGTGCAGGGAGGAAAAAGTATGTGAGGCCCTAGCCTAATGACTTCTCCCAGAGCTAATTGGAGCCAGGAGTGAGCCAACCTTGACTCCAATCAGTGTGATGATATTGGATGTGTTGCTGACAGCCGTCCTGTCCTTAAAAAACACACACCTGTTTTGGGTTTACTGGTTTCAAGAAGCACTGTCTGATGTGAACCATGTCTCACAGAAAAGAGCTCTCAGAAGACCTACGATCAAGAATTGTTGACTTGCATGAAGCTGGAAAGGGTTACAAAAGTATCTCCAAAAGCCTTCATGTTCATGTGTCCACGGTAAGACAGACTGTCTACAAATGGAGAAAGTTTACCACTGTTGCTACTCTCCCTAGGCGGGGTCGTCCTGTAAAAATGACTGCAAGAGCACAGCGCAGAATGCTGCATGAGGTAAAGAAGAATCCCAGAGTGTCAGCTAAAGACCTACAGAAATCTCTGGCACATGCTAACATTTTTGTTGACATATCTACAATAAGGAAAACATTAAACAAGAATGGAGTATATGGGAGGACACCACGGAGGAAGCCATTGCTGTCCAAAAAGAATATTGCAGCACGTTTGAAGTTTGCAAAAGAGCACCTGGATGTTCCACAGCACTACTGGCAAAATATACTGTGGACAGATGAAACCAAGATTGAGTTGTTTGGGAAGAACACACAACACTATGTGTGGAGAAAAAAAGGCACAGCACACCAACATCAAAACCTCATCCCCACTGTAAAACATGGCGGAGGGAGCATCATGGTTTGGGGCTGCTTTGCTGCCTCAGGGCCTGGACGGATTGTTGTCATTGATGGGAAAATTAATTCCAGAGTTTATCAAGACATTTTGCAGGAAAACGTACGACCATCTGTCCGCCAACTGAAGCTCCGCAGAGGATGGGTGATGCAACAGGACAATGACCCAAAGCATACAAGTAATTCAACAAAACAATGGCTGCAACAGCACAGAATACGCCTTCTGGAGTGGCCCAGTCAGAGTCCTGAACTCAACCTGAATGAAATGCTGTGGCATGACCTTAAGAGAGCGATTCACACCAGACATCCCAAGAATATTGCTACACTGAAACAGTTTTGTGAAGAGGAGTGGTCCAAAATTACTCCAGATCATCGTGCAGGTCTGATCTGCAACTACAGGAAACGTTTGGTTGAGGTTATTGCTGCCAAAGGAGAGTCAACCAGTTATTAAGTCCAAAGGTTCACATACTTTTTCCTCCCTGCACTGTGAATGTTTACATGTTATGTGCAATTAAACCATGGCAACATCTAATGTTTGTGTAGTATTATGTTCAGCAGACTGTGTTCTTCTATTGTTGTGACTTAGATGACGTTCACAGCACATTTTATGCCCAATTCATGCAAAACTCCACGTACTCCCAAGGGGTTCACATACATTTTCTTGCAACTGTACATAGCCTACCACTTTGTGGCTAAGTTGCTATTGTTCCCAGTTGCTTCCTCTTTGTTATAATAGCACTGACAGTAGACCATGGAATATTTAGTAGCAAGGAAATTTCACGGATGGACTTATTGCACAGGTGGCAACCTATCACGGTACCACGCTTGAATTCACTGAGCTCCTGGGAGCGAGCCATTCTTTCACAAATGTTTGTAGAAGCAGTCTGCATGCCTAGGGGCTTGATTTTTTACACCTGTGGACATGGAGGTGATTGGAACACCTGAATCCAATGATTTGGAGAGGTGTACCAATACTTTTGGCAATATAGTATTGGCTTTAGATGAAGAGATGAGTGGTTTGCTAAAACTTCAATATACCAGTAACCATTCAATCTATGGCATAATCTTTTCCAATAGGTTGAGTATTTGGCTATTTACATTTTTCCTGTGTTAGTTAGTTGCCTCATGGTGTGAACTGGTAAACATTTTTCTCTTTTTCCAGTTCACTTCCACACTAAACATGTGCTAACACTACTTGGGAAGTAGGCTTTCTTCTTTTATTGTATGACATCTAGCCACAGACTTAGTAGACAATTGGATTGTGTTATTTAATGAATGAGAGTACAAGGAATTACAGGGCTAGATCTCTGTACTATATGCATGTGCATACAGTCCTCCACCCACTCCGACGGGAACACCCTGGAACTTGTTTTCTCTCATCTCTGCACCCACCACAACCTCACAAACACCCCTTTTCACCTCTCTGACCACAACCTCATCACCTTCTCCGTATCCTCGTCCTCTTACACCTACACCTCCAAACGTCAAACCATCACCAACCGAAACCTCCGCAACCTGAACTCTGCCCCCTTCCACTCTTCAGCTGACCAACTTTACGACAGTATCCTTCCCCTGTCCTGCCCTGACCTGGCCACTACTGTCTATAACAGCTCGCTATCAGCCGCTTTTGACTCCTTAGCACCCCTAACCACACGAAACATTAGACCCCGACCGCTTCAGCCCTGGCAGAATGACCATACCAAAACCCTCAAGCGACGCAGTCGTGCGCTAAAGCAACTATTGCGCAAAACCAGATCCCAACAAGTGTTCACCTGATACAAATCCGCCTTCCTCACCTATACTTCCTCCCTCCACGCTGCCAAGCAAGCCTACTTTGTAACCCTCATCAATACCCTCTCCTCCAGCCCTCGCCGGCTCTTCTCCACCTTCAACTCTCTGCTCTCTCCGCCCCCACCTCCACCTAGTACCTCACTCACCGCCAACGAGATTGCTAACCACTTCCAAAGCAAGATCGACGCAATTTGCAGGGACATCACCACTGCTCAGACTTCCGCCCCACCTAGCATCCCTCACACAAAAACCCCCTCAACACTCCTCTCCTTCGACCAGACCTCCACCCCACCCAACATTCCGCACACTAAAACCCCCTCAACACTCCACTCCTTCGACCCTGCTACCAGTGAAGAGGTCACTAAGATCTTCTCTGAAGCTCGCCTTACCACCTGCCCCCTTGACCCTGTTCCCACACAACTCCTACAATCTCCCTTCTCCTCCATCCTACGCTCCCTCACTCACATCTTTAATCTCTCCCTCTCTACTGGCACATTCCCCTCCCCCCTGAAGCACACGCACATCACTCCCATACTTAAAAACCCTCCCTGGATCCCACCAACCTAAACAACCTTATACCCATCTCCCTGCTGCCATTTTCATCCAAACTCCTTGAGCGCATAGCCTATAATCGCCTAAGCTCCCACCTCATCGACAACAACCTCCTTGATCCCCTACAATCTGGCTTCCGCCCCCTACACTCCACTGAACCCGCCCTACTCAAACTCACCAAAGACCTGCTAACCGCCAAAGAGCCAATGGCCACGACTCAGTGCTACTACTCCTCGACCTCTCCACGGCTTTCGACATGGTCGACCACCCCCTCCTCCTCATAAAACTGTGCTATTTTGGCCTCAGAGACTCTGCTCTCTCCTGGCTCTCTTCCTATCTATCTCAACGCTCCTTCAGTGTTACCTATAACGCTGCCACCTCCCCCTCACTCCCCCTCTCTGTTGGGGTCCCCCAAGGTTCTGTCCTCGGGCCCCTTCTCTTCTCCATCTACACCTCCTCCCTTGGTCAACTGATACACTCCCACGGCTTCAACTACCATCTCTATGCTGATGACACTCAAATTTATCTCTCTACCCCTCGCCTCACTCCTTCAGTCTCCACCCGAATCACTAGCCTTCTGAACGACATATCAGATTGGATGTCACTCCACTTCCTCAAATTAAACCTTGCCAAAACCGAGCTCCTAGTTTTCCCCCCAGCCCGCCCCCTCCCCCTTCTGACCTCTCCATCACGACCAACAACTCGACCATCAGCCCCACCCCGCAAGCCAGAGTACTAGGTGTCATTCTAGACTCCAATCTGTCTTTCCAGTCCCAGATCCGATCGCTGACAAATTCATGCAGACTCCACCTCCGCAACATCTCCAAAATACGCACGTTCCTAACTCCTGAAGCTACAAAGCAACTCATTCACTACCTTATCATATCACGACTTGACTACTGTAACTCCCTCCTCGCCGGCCTACCCCAACACAGGTTATCCCTGCTTCAGTCTATCCTAAATTCTGCGGTCAGACTCATCCACCTTACCAACCGCTCCGTATCCGCCCCCCCCTCTGCCAATCCCTCCACTGGCTTCCGATTGCCCAACGCATAAAATTCAAAATATTAACATTGACATACAAAGCTGTTCATAACACTACCCCAAACTATATCACCGACCTGATATCCATCTACCACCCAAAACGCACTCTCCGCTCCTCACAAGACCTCCTACTCTCCAGTTCCCTGGTCTCCTCCTCCCATGCCCATCTCCAGGACTTCTCCAGGGCTTCCCCCATCCTCTGGAACTCACTACCCCAGTCCATCAGACTGTCACCTACCCTCCTCACCTTTAGGCGCACCCTGAAAACCCATCTCTTCAGAGAAGTCTACCCCACCCTCACCTAATTGCTGATCTCCTCCGCTCTTCCCACCACTCCATCCCCCACAGCTATTTCCTCCTGTGCCACTCTCCCCTCCCTCCTAGATTGTAAGCTCCAAGGAGCAGGGCCCTCGAACCCCTCGTGTATTGTATTGTTACTGTACTGTCTCGTGTACTGTCTCCCATTATAATGTACAGCGCTGAGCAAACCGTTGGAGCTATATAAATACTGTATAATAATAATAATAATAATGTGCAGTAGGGACCTTAGACTATAAGCTTCTTGAGAGCAGGGACTGATGTGAATATGTGAGTAAAGCGCTTCCTAAGTTGTAGATGCTATATAAATTCCTGTAATAATAAATAGAAGTGGAAGATTGGTGTGAAATAGTCCAAAAGATCTCTTGACCAGGATAGGTGATAGGTAGTTCAAATGATCTTCTTTCCAGAAAGATGTGTGCAAATCAATTTGCAAGTCTAATCAGATAAAGTCACTTAGTCTCTACTTACCATCAAATCTATCAGTGACTTTCGACTTTCAGTGTTAGCAAACCTATTTGCTGAGCTGTTGTATATAACAGGGCACTTTTCTGGAAACTTAGATTACTTTTAAACTGCCCACATGTTACAATCTGATTGTACAATCTATGCACAATATAGTGCAAGAGCCTAACTAGATAGTCTATTTAGTTTCTATCCAGGAAGCTAGACTGAAGCTCACACATTGGTAAAAGAAAAATGCATGATCAGTTTTGTTCTTTGCGTGGCCGGTTTAGGACCTAGTATGCTCCTTGTTGGCCTGTATATGGTCTGTTTCACAGATGATTTAGAAGCTTAACAGGGATGCCAAGCATTCAAAATATGCAGTCATGGCAATGTGTATATGGCCAAAAAAAAAATCCCGCCTGTTCAAACCTTTTTAAAGCTATGTGGTCATATCTTTACACTTTAACCACTTGCCCTCCTGCGGATTTACCCCCCTTCATGACCAGGCCATTTTTTGCAATAAGGCGCAGCGTTACTTTAACTGACAATTGCGCGGTCATGCAATGCTGCACCCAAATTAAATTTACGTCTTTTTTTTCCCACAAATTGAGCTTTCTTTCAATGGTATTTGATCACCTGTGCATTTTTTATTTTTTGCGCTATAAAAAAAAAGACCGACAATGTTTAGAAAAAAAACAATATTTTTTGCCTTTTTGCCATTAAACATGTCCAGTAAAAAAATAAAAAAAAATCAAGTTTCGTTTTATATGTAGGTAAAAATGTATTCTACTACATGTATTTGCTAAAAAAAATCCCAGCATGTGTAAATTAATTGGTTTACGTGAAAGTTATAGTGTTTACAAATGGTGGTATAGATACTGGAATTTTTTTTTCTACTAGTAATGGCGGCGATCAGTGACTGATAGCGGGATTGCGGCAGACATTCCGACTCGGGGGGGGGGGGGGGGGAACTGACTTGGTGTCACTGACATCCCCAGTGACACCAATACAGTGATCAATGCTAAAAAAAAGCACTGACACTACTAATGACACTGGGTAGGCAGGGGTTAACATGAAGGGTTAACTGTGTGCAGGGAGTGTTTTACTGGGGGGGCGGTGTCTGTGTGCTTCACTGTAATCACACTGCTCTGGATGGCTGTGATGTGCACAGCCATCCAGAGCAGTATGCCCGACAGGGAGGACTGTTAGTAAAGAAAACAGTCCTCCTCCCTGTCGGAGATGCTCGGTAATCACCGGGCACCGGCGACATGGGTAGGGCGCACAGGGAAAGGTGCGTGGAGATGCAAAAACACCCCTCTGGCAATTTTAGCTGTGACCATCTTAAGCAAGGGCAGATGATTCTTGTAGCATTTACTTTCTGGAATCCATCTACACTTAGCTCATGCATACATGCATACATGTAAAGAAGTGTGCTTAACTGAGAAAGCCACTCCTCCCCTCCACCAGATTAAAGAAAAAAAATGCACATTAAGATGCCTATGAAGACTCTTGGGAAGTATGACATCATTTTGGCGTAAGCCAGAAACCAGGAAGCAACTGAAAAATTTTAATAAAAAAGGTTAAAATAAGTAGGTCCCAGCATGAATATTAAAAATAGTTTAGGTTTGACTTTAACATATTGCATATTATGGGTGATGCAAACAAATTATAGTGGGAGAAATAAACTAAATAGATAAAATAAATTAAACTGACAACTTTTTGAACTTCACTGAAAGCAGGGTGATAGATGTCTAACTCCATTGTGATTTGAATGTAAATTTATATGGAGTAAAGTCAATGACTATACAGATTTACTCCTCGGATTCATATACAGTATATGAATAAAAACAAAGTGTTAGATACTGGAGA